CCCGCCGTGTGCACTGGGCGCCCGGCCGCCCGCGGCTCCCGCCTACGTGTGCGAGCGCATGTGCTAGGCGCGGGCCGGCTGGGGCGGCGCCCTTTGTTTCCCGCGCTGGGCAGGTGTGAGCCCAGCCGGTCCTCAACTGTAGGATGCGTTGCTCGGTACGCTGGCCTTGGTGGAAGCATTTCTGAGGTCTAAGAACACCATATATAATTACATCTCATCATCTAATCCAGTTAAAATAGAGTTGTTAAATGTAGTCTTAAGGTAAAAGCTTAGTTCATTTTCAGTAACACACTTTGAGATATGCTCATTAATTATGTGGAGACTCATCTACAGGGTGGTTTGATTTCTTTGGGGGTGGGGGCTTGGATTTCGAAGTTACTGTCTGCCAGCTACTAAGAATCCTTTGGGAGGCGATAATCATGTTGGACAGAAGGGCCATGAGTTCTCAGAATACGGAAAAACTTGGGGCCAAAAATTTAATCTCCTATACTCGTAGTATGCTAAGATGGCCTGGTTTATTGTCGAGTACAAACGCAAGCACTGTTCGGAACGCTAACCTCGCCCTCACAGGACTGCGCCTCCGCTGTGTCTCGCCAGCGCCCTCCTGTTCAGTCTCTCGCGCAGGTGTTGCTCCTACAAACCTCGCTAAGCAGACCCTACCTCTCCATCCAAGTCAGCCTCCGAGGAACCGGAACTTCGAGGTCACCAACCTCCCTAAGCAGACCCTACCTCTCCATCCCGGGGAACCGAAACTTCGAGGTCACCGACATCATTATCCCTTTGCTTCTGCACATGGTTAGGTTTCCGTTATGAACATTTTAGAAATGTGCCCATCTGGATCCGGGTGCCAAGTGACCTGTAGGACTCGGTCTCTGAGGCTGTGATACCATTCACTGAGTAGGGGATGAAGGAGAGGCACCATTCGGAAGCTGCGCGAAGGTGTGGTGGTGTCGCTGGATTCCGTTTCCAGCTCTCCCTCTTCCCATGTATCCTGCCCCCTCAGTTCTTTCCTGGGTTTCCTCCACTTTCCCTCTCATCTGCCCGTCCCTGCCGCACTATACTGTTGCCAGGCTATTCTAAAACAAAACTGTGAGGATGTTATTTCTACGTTTAGCATCCCCTCAAGAGGAAGAGGTTAATGAATGTAAAACTGGTTGCCTCTGCGGGTGGAGTGCCAGAGGACTTCCTACATAATTCATTCCTGTTTCTTTGTGATGATTTGTAACCAGTCCGATTACTTTTATTAACAGGAAAATGATTGTTTACGTTTAGTAGCTATTGATTATCTTCAGATGAGAGTTTTGATGCTTATGTATTTGATGCTGAGGATAAAACTGATGAGTCTGCAAGGTATATAGTATATTAACACATTTTTTTTCTGCTGGTGTTTTACTGATAGAAACACAGGTGACACATTTCTTATGAAATTCTCACAGAACATCTGTATTAATGCCAATTTCCCATGCACCAGTTCCCCACACACTATTTGATAAAGGCCAGATATTCACCTGTATGTACAGTAGCGTTTGTTCCTTAAGGCGAGAACCCTGTAATTATGAATCTTGGAGCATGTATGTTGCAGCTGGAATATTTGTCCATCCTCCCCACCAGAACATTCCTATGGGATGTGTGCACATTTTCTCTATGGGGAGAGAGAAAGTAATCCGTAAGAACAAAGAAGTCAGAGCTGTTCCCAGAGGAACTTACTTTATGTGGAACAGAGGTGGGAAAATTCAAACCCAAAGGTGCTCTTGAAAACCATAGACATTTGGATGATAAACCAATAAGAAGAGGCTGGCAGCTTCCTCAGAGCAACAAGCTAAACTGCAGACTAGCTAGTTTACCAGTGAGAATCAGGAAAAAGGTAGATAAGAGCCATAAAGGGATCAGAACATACCTGAAGGCTGAACTAAAAAACTACCTCTGCAAAGGGCTAGACTGTGCAACAATTTATATCTCAGGGTGTTGTCAAGATAATAGATCAGTTTGCTAGCAATTAGCAGTTGCTAATAGCTGGGTGTGATACAAAGGAGGCAGGCAGTTAAATGGAGAGATCAGGGAGAGAAATAATGAGCATGTTAGAACCACCATCACCCCAGGGTGACTGCATGGCTGCTGTCACTGAGGAGCAACATCAGAGGTGTCATACTGAAGGAAACGGACTTCACCAAAATAATCCTGCCAACTCACAAACAGGTAAATAAAAACA